TAAAATCAAAATTATGTTTTAACTTTGAACACGATCTTCGTGGATAGGTATTCGTAAAGTAAACACTAAATTGTATGTAGTTGAAACTAATTTTGTGTTCTTACCCTAAATTTCTTCTAAATTTATACACTACAGGAATAAAGGCATGACACATGACATGAAGTTAGAAGCGGGTAATTCAAACCATAGAGACACCAGCGGTCACTGATACGTCTGAACCAATAGAAACCGTTCTTTACATAAGCCAATAGAAATCGTCCATTCCGCTCTACGTCACCAAATCTAATTCACCCGGGCAATTCAAACTATAGTCACCAAATTTACAGTCACTAATCTGTCACCGATAATCCCCTAACCTAACCCTTTTGTTTTCAAATTCAATACCCTCATTAATTTAATGGGTAAGAAGATTCTTTTGTGACTGTAAATCCAGCACTGGCAGACTTATCTCCCTATTGTCTCAATTTTCACTCTCATTGTCACCAATTTCTAAAGAACACACAATAGTGGACTATAAGTTTTAAGGGAACATGACAAACCTAACACGTCACGCTACACACCGCCACTTAATTAATACCACATTTTGTTTTTAATATTTCAATAAACCCTCATATACCCCCTTCATATGCTTCAACCCATTATGTACAAAATAAAATTATTAAAATTATTAATAAATAATTATGAATTATGATGACGTAATATTCTATTGTGCACCTATACCAGCATGTTCTCTACTGTCCCCTACCCCCATCTTAAATAGTTAAAAATAGGGTATTTTAGGTCAAAATTTCAAAGTGCTGTAAAAAAATTGCCCAAGCCCTAGGCATGGGGATTTTTTTTTTACTGAGACACTATAGGGTATGCTGATTCAGAAAAACCAAAAATTAATTTTCCTTTACTTTTTTCCCGCTAAAGTTCATTTCAGCAGTTTTACAACCAGACTGATACTAATTTCACAGATTTCTATATCGTGTCGATTGGTTGTATTGATGTTTATTAACAAAATAGCTAATTTAAACAACCTCATATAAGGCTTTTTGCTTAATTAGATTATTGGAGTTTAGTGTCGGTCTTTTAATTGCATTCAGTACTGTTAATGTGATGGAGCGCATCGGACTATCGTTATACTTTTTCGGACTACTCATCGTCAAAGGTAATTTTAATTATGAAACCATATTAAAGATGAGTATTCGTGATCTGTAATTTCCATTGAGTAAAACTATTGATTGTATAATAATAATAATAATAATAATAATAATAATAATAATAATAATAATAAAATAATAATAATAATAATAATAATAATAATAATAATTATTATTATTATTATATTATTATATATATTATTATTATGTGAGGTCTCACCACGAAATGAGATGCATCGTTGGTGAAATCATATTAAGATATTCATCAAAATAGCTCAAAGTTAAAATTTTTGCAAAATTTTGATTTTAATGTTTTGGAATAACTTTATACTTATATTTTATGATTGTATAATTTTTAAGTGAATTTTCTTACTAAAACAGTGTTCTTTGCACATATTCTATAATTCTAGTCATAATATTTATTTGTATAGGTTAGTTTATCTTTGATGCCGATTTTCTCAAAATGTTTTTCTCATACACCTAAACTTTAAATACTCACATCTCCAGATCTACTTATCCTAGGGAAGCCATTCAAAGACCAAATTAAAGCTTATAATGTGATCTACCCAAATATAATATAAACTCCATTTTTGATTTTCAAGAGACTCCTCTTGTGGTGAGACGTCCCAAATTATTTTTATTATTATCATCATCATCATCATCGTCATCATCATCATCCTCATTATTATTGGCTTTTCCTGCGTTAGCAAAAAAAGCCATGATATTTTGTTTAATTTTTGATTATTTTAATATTTTGCAATTTTTTTTTCTGGCCGGCAGTAACTTTGGTGACTTTCCTTTTTTCTTCAAACTCTGTCAAACCAAAGACCATCTCAAATATGTGCATATTAAGCATTCTTAATTATTTTAGCAGAATCATATAGAATGGGTCATGGGATGGTTGAAATAAAGTAATAGTAGTGGCGATAACGGTTGTTGTTATGTTGTATTATACCAATGTCAAAATTAATAAAGGTGATTTTCGTTGGCCCTGATATTATTTTGGTATGTTTTGTAACACAGATTCACTGGGTAATTGTATTTTTGACGATAGTGATATTCTCAAAGACCGACAATTTTTAGATAGCAATGGTTGGACCATGGCACAAGTCGGTACTCCTATCACGTGTCCGGGATACATCAAAGCTTGGAAATGGTTTCCATCCGAATCTGCAAGTTTTCTTGGGCTAGTGTGGCGGCTCACTAATTCTTCTACTATGGAGTATGAGGTGACAGGGCGTACCGTTTTGCCTGCTGTGGCAGAAACAAACAAAATCAATATTTTCAATCTACCAACTTCTGAATGGATTCCAGTAGAGGCCGGTGATATTGTTGGATTTAAATTTGACCAGGCCCTTATACGTTTTGACTACAACGAAAGTTTTCAGATTGAATTTGCGCAGTCAATTGCCTTTGAAGACATCGTTATTGGTTCTCGACACACGTTAACATACCATACAGGCTTCAGAATTTATTCATTTATGGCAATTTATGAAGGTAAAATAAGTCCTTAGAAACAATATAAACTGTTGTGACTCAGTAATTATTATATGTAAGACAGTGAGGCAGAATGAGAAGCTTTACTATTATTTACTGACGTTTAATTAACATTGACACACTATGCAATAAAAACGCAAAAGTAAAACATTTCCTATACAGAGCTACAATATTAAACGACATGCAACACCATATTTAAGACAACATAAAGGAAATTACTGAAAAAAGGATGTCAAATATCAACTACAATATTTACATATTTTAAATATAAAAACAATAATATGCCTTTATTATCATTATTTCGTACAGAATATGTTAGCAGTCGATATGTTGTTGAAACGAAGTGCAAGCGATCAAACACAATGAAAATAGTTGAACCAGGCGGGATGTTACTGCGTCACGTGATCAAAAGTTTCCAGAGACCGTCTGCCATTTCATGTGTTGTATCTTGTCAGAGGAATACACAATGTATGTCACTCACTTATGAGAAGGAAAACCAAATGTGTCACTTCAATAACGCTAGCAAAGAGGATACGAGTGACTTTATTATTATGGATAATGTTTTGTACTATGAATTTAGCTATGAGGCGATACAGGTAAGATTATGCTTACTTACAAACCTACCTACCTACCTGTTAATTAAAAAGCCTATTTATTTCTAATGTGACGTACATACATACATTACAGGCACAACAGCATGCAGTACGGATTCAGCTACCATTTTTCTTCCTATCAGCATTATAGTGTTTTACCATTCACTATTCCTTGGTTTTACTATATCATTTCTGCTTTATGCACTAAACCTCTCACGCTTGCTTTATGCCGCTTCAAGTCGCTATAGGTGAGTAATTTTCTTCTAGGTTGTGAGTAACAGCGGCGGTGGCTCCAGAAATTTTACCACAAGGGGTCCGACATATTCGACAGTGGGGTCCGAACAGAGGGGCTGACAAAAGCCTCGGTCAGGGAATAAGATTCTCTGGTAGGGTTCAAGGGGAACGTTTTTATGGCTTAGGATGGCCCAAATTGTCCTTTTAGACCACAATTATGGATTGGCAATCAAAATAACGTTACTAGGATAGATAAGTGATTATTCGGGGTGAACGCGGGAGGCTAGTCCGGAGGGGGCGGCGGCGGCGAGTCCTCCCTGCCCCTCCTCCTGCTGGCGCCAACACTGGTAGGTAATGTCCCATCAGGGCAGGTATGTTTTTTCAAGGGTAAGAGAATTGTTCAATAATGGTAGACAATTATCCCCAAGAACGAAGGACGTTTTAGTAGGGGTGGGAATTCTATTCACCGGGGTAAAATAATGAAACATAATTTATAATGCAGTACCACTTTGTTACCAAATTATCAGCGTTGAGTTTGACCGTGTAGAACAAGAGTTTGACACATTTTTGGATTGATTAATATTAATATTGACAGCAATTGTAGCTGTGTGAAAAAGACCCCACGACATTACCAAAATACAGTACTACATGATGCGCTATTACTGTTACTATTATTATTATTAATATGACTATCCAGGTTCTACCACTACCATCAACTGCCGTGCAAGCAATGCGTATTATTTGAATAAGTATATATACATAATAATGTTAAATAATCATTGATTATGTTTATATTCAATAGAATTACGAAACGTGTGAATCTGGTACGGTATACAATGACATCTCGTGCTGGGACACGCGCGTGTGCAGGTGTAACGGCAATAATGGTTGTCCATTTAAAGGTGCGTTAATATTTTGAACATTCTATTAAAAAAAAAAAAGTTAACGTCATCTTGTGAATGGCTGGGATGTAGCGAGAGGTCCCAACTGTAGATGCGCCTATGTAATCTCATTAAAATGCTGTGTTTTATGCTGTTTTAAATAATAATGATAATATTATTAATAAAAAATCTTTACTCAATTGTTTGCATTGTGATGGTGATAATAACAATAACGTCAAAGGAAATGGAGAAACATTATGTTTATATTATTTATACGGAAAGTGTGTCATATTTTGTCCATTTCATTTTTAATGTTGTATTTGTGATAGTGGCAAGCTTGTTGTTGGCCATCTGCCGATTGAGAGTAGCAGGATTAAGGCATGGTTTCTTGCAAACTCAGATGAGAACGTGCTAAAGGTGCAAATTGTCGGGTAAAGAAAATAGTTGGATTAGTCATTCCCGGCCGATTTATTGCCAAAATGTAAGAAAAAGAAAATTGAAAAATACTGTCCAGGGAGCTCTCACCTGCTCTCCAGGAGATAGCCTCATTTTGAAATTTACATGAGAAGAAAATGTGAATCCAATCGGCAGCTCAAGTCATGCCAACCACAGACCCAGGATTGATTCGATTATTGGCTAGCTAAAAAAACATCACTGAACGCCATGATAAACGTCGTGGACACTGACTGACCGATCGACAGATAGATCAACGGACAGACCGACCGACCGACCGACCGCCTGACCGACAATGCTAAGATGCGGAGTTGATGCATCGGACTGAAAATTAAGTCGGTGATGTACTGCACTGTACTGCATGATTGATTTTTTTTTAAAAATCGAGGGAACAGGGGTGGCGCCAGTGGGGGCTGTGGGCCAGAGCCGTAGATAGAGAGAGTTTGGCCAACTTAGCGCATGGACGCCATGTCGTTACCAACCAGCCCAGGCGCATGCGCGCGTATAGCTTTAATGTTTTGTTTTGGTGACAACATGGCCGGACGTTGTCATGTGTAGTTACCAAACGACGTCTCATGAAATCATTGAGCATGCGCAACTAACGGCGCCGGCGAAGAAGTTATGAAATAGAAATTCTTTATATGCAACAATTGAGCATGTGCAACTCAAGCGAAACTATGAAAATGGAAAATGAGAATTCTGGACAAACAACGTCGATGGCCTGCGGTCACGCCTCTATTTTGGCTATTATCGTCATGGATTTGTAATTAAATTATCGCAGATTTCCTGGTCGAACAACAGCATGTTATTTTGCTTATCGTCGTATGTACGTACGTGGATTGACAATTTACATAAACTGACACTAGTGACTAGAGCTGGGCCTAATCCAGCCTAGGCTAAGCCGAAGCATAAATTCGGAGATATGATGGAGTTGTGTCTAGAGGTACGGTACTGTACAGTAGGCTTTCTCAATAATGATAAGGATAGCGTTAACCATTATAGCGACGTACCTTATCCCTAGCCATTTCTTTTATTTTAGTTATCAACGTATCATAAGTCATCATCAGACCAGGGAGTTGTAACTTTTCGCAGACTCCGTGGTTAGACAACAGCAGCAGTTTATTTTTCGAGATGATTATTATTATTATTATTATTATTATTATTATTATTATTATTATTATTATTATTATTATTATTATTATTATTATTATTATTATTATATCAAGAAAATAGCAACACAAAAACAGTAAGGCCTAGCCAGTCTATAAAGCTGAAGCATAAACTCCCCCATTATGAAGTTAATTATCTATAATAACTCTATAGTTCGAAAAAACCAAGTAAAATAATAAAAATAAAAGAATATATTAGAAATATTGAGTACAAATAAAATAATAATTAATAATAATAATGATAATAGGAGTAAGAAAACAAGCTAATAGAAACCGAACTATATCTCCAGCCAGCGGTGGGCAAACTCGATTACACCAAGATTTTGATCCGGCCCACAAAACATTGATAAAAAATAAATCGTTTCCGGAAAATTGTCAGCACTTACAGAAAAAAATGTTTCTGTTAATAGAAACACGACCACCTACTCTGGCATTTTTAGCAAGAGCAGTCGCGTATCCAGGATTTGAGGAAGAGGGTACTGAAGGAGAGAGTCCGGATCGAGCTGAGGTGCGAAAACTTTCAGTATTTTGTACCTCCAGAAGCCCAGAAATAGCTATTAAACTATCATTTTAACTTGTTTTTAATTGAAAAAAATAAGTTTTCAACAAAAACGAATTAATTGTTTTAATTGTGTTATGAATTGAAGCTTCAATTCACCCGTAGAGACAGGCAGACGTTGGCGGGTCAGTACTTTACTGGCTGGGGATGCCCAGCTTAGGCGGGCGGATACTGACCAGTAGGATGCGATGATTCTTCCCACCGTCGGATGTAACACGTGGCGCCCATGCACAACGCCAATTTAGCTGCATAGCCTGGGCAGTGATATGGACCCCTAGACTTGCCCGGCATCTTGGTCTCCCTCTCGACTTTGCTGGCTGTGTCTAGAGGAAAAGCGATGCTTCTACGTCTAGAGTCAGTTTGGTTGTAGAAGTTGCCAGAGGATGCATCCATAACACCAACCGCCTAACGGGGCTCCACCTTTGGCCTTCCTGAGCCTGACCCACAAGGCAGTGGGTGCTTTCACTGTTACCTGGTGCTATTTAATCCATATCTGGAGCTTTGTTGATGGACGTCAGGGTATATCCACAGGCCGATGGACCGTGCATGTCGCATCTCTGAGGGCTATAGGCTCCTCCGAGATCCCTTGTGGTTCGGCCTGAGTTCTCAAGACACCCAGTGTACCATGTGTTGCCACGAGGAGGCACCACGAGAGTCTTGGTGACGCAGAGGCTATGTACTGGCATGAGAGATTTAAGGCCAACTCAGACAGTGTCGGCCGATGCAGCCCGACCCGATTTATCGTCGGGGACAGTCTTAAGCCGTCATGAGAAATATTAAACATGTTTAATATTCTACGTCGCGACTGCCCCCGACGCGATTTTTTTCCCGTACGAAACATTTGCATGAAGTTCCACTCGGGTTGTCTCGACTGACTCGACTCGAAAAATCGCAATTCTGGAGGTCAAAATGTCATCAACCAAGATAAACGTCTACAAAACTTCTGAGATACATGATTGCTGCTCGCTGTCTGATTTTGAAAAAAAAAAACACATTGCCATTCTAATATAATAAGTCGTTTAAAACGACATATGTATTATTTGATTTCGCTGCACGAATAATAAAAAGTGTTAGGCCCTATTTGAATTTGAGTTTCATACTGTGAAAATTTTTATTTTTTAGTTGGCCGCGGTTTCGGATTGTTTAACCTATGTCATGACGAATTCGAGTCAACTCGGCCCCAATTTACTGTGTACGATATTTATTGAATATTTACCAAGAGATTTGAATGCAAAGCCAAAATTAAAGTGTTTTTAAATCGTCGCCTTTGTTATTTCGTTTCATTTACATGCACTTACAATAATTAAAACTGCATTAATAAAAATATATTAAAATGATATTAATAAAAATTATATAAAGGTATATAGAATAACTAATAATAATAACAATATAAAATTTGGGCCAAGTTGACTTGGGGTTGGTTGACATGGGGCCGTGTTGACTTGGGGCCGAGATGACTGGGGCCGAGTTGACCTGCTTCTGCCTAGAATTACTAAAAGTTAAGACAGGGATGGATTTAGGCCTAATATAGTATACCGTACTGTAGGTGCTTCTTGATTACAAGGCTTAGGCTAAGTTAATTAATGGCGACATTATATATGGTTATTTATAATTATTATTATTGTTAATATTATTGTTATTAATATTATTGTTATTATTAATTAAATATTAATTACATTACAAGGCTAAGGCCAAGTTCATTAATGCCTGAGTGATACATATTAATTTATTATATATATATTTTTTACTCACTGTCCCATTTTAATTTCATGTTTTAAATTTGTTCAAAATTTCAGTCAATGGCATGCGAAGCGTGACTGTTGTGTCAGGCCTAGGAACCTAGTCTGGCGGAAGGTGGGGGGTGGAGGCTAGCAGGTAGGACCTAACTCAGCTTGGAACTAGGCCGTTCCACTAGACCCATTATTTAGCCTCTTTTGCTCTAGTCTTTGATAGGAATGTACCTATTTACCACTACTACTATTATAGAAGGGGGTACTAGCTGTTGTTGTTGTAGTACATTTGATAACAAACATACAAGAAGCTCACGGTTAGTTACAGACGTAGCCTACATCCCATAAATCGGTAAGATTGTATAGGCCTGCCGTAGGTAAATAAAGAACAGTACAGTAAAGGTAATAGAATACTCGAGCGTCACGACATTGCGAAGTGCATGCTCTTGTTCGTATATCAAACTCGAGTCGAATCAATCCGAGACGGCCCGAGTGGAGTTTCATGTAAATGTTTCGTACGGAAAAAAAAATTGCGCCCCCGACGCACAATATCGCGTCTGCGTTTAACTCACACAGACCCGACGCGACAACAAATCGCGTCGGGCTGCGTCGTACGACGCTGTCAGAGTATGATAATAATAATAATAATAATAATAATAATAATAATAATAATAATAATAATAATAATAATAATAATAATAATAATAATAATAATAATAATAATAATAATAATAATAATAATTCGAAAGTTGGAATATTTAAGTAAGGATTTGTATTAATTTGACAAAGAATTTCTTTAGAATTGTAACCCTGAAGAGGGGAGCAGGCGCTCCCGAAAATTTGGTTTTTTAAATAAAATATATGCTTCAAAGTAGTCACCTTGTGAAGAATGTTATTTCTGTTCTGCTTACTTATTTTATATATATATTGAAGCATACGTGGATTGGATATCTTTTGATCATCACCAACATGTTATTTAGAACATAAAAGAAAATAGATGTGTTTCTATAGGACGATGTATATTTTTCAAATAACATTTCTTTTGGAAAATTATTTTTATGATCATGCATATTAAACTGTCATTTGGACATATTATTATTGGTCTTTTACCAAAAGTATACACACACAACAATATAGAAGATTGCATTCAGGGATCGAATTACGGTTAATCGATAAGAATAGAAAAACACAATCAAAATGTGCATACATTTGATAAATTCAGATTTAGGAAACAGAAAAGGCCCCATTACGAATTATTATGTATACGGAAGCACCTAAGTGCCATTCGTCTTGACGACTTGTCAAGATAATTTATGTTGTCAAGTCGACATAATATACATATCATGTCGACATGGCGAGATAGATTATCTTGACAAGTCGACATACTAAAAATTGTATGTTGTCATGGCAAGATAGATTATCTTGACAAGTCGACATAATACATATGGTATGTTGTCATGGCGAGATATATTATCTTGACAAGTCGACATAGTAAAAATTGTATGTTGTCATGGCAAGATATATATATATATATATATATATATATATATATATATATAGATATGTATATTATGTCGACTTGACAACATAAATTATCTTGACAAGTCGTCAAGTCGAATGGCACTTAGGTGCTTCCGTATATGTACACCATAACATCGATAAAAAGATAAAACCTAAAAATCCCAATCACAATACAGAATTTAACAAATTTATATTTACAAAACACGAAAACTAAATCCGCCAAAAAAGGTCACTGCAAAAACAGGCAAGAGAAACACACTATTCACTGGAATGCCTAGCCAACAACCATTTGTTATTATCAGCCATTGAAAATCAATAAAGTAATGATATTAGTTTAAAAAAAACATAAAGAAAACAAACAGAATAGTAACATTATGAAAATTAAAGTGAAAAAAACTGCTCAACTGAAGGGAAAGAAAAACAATGAATACGATTTGCATTATAAATGTATTGTATACAAATATATTATCAAAACGATATCGATTTAATCAAGAAATTATATGTGTAGCAGAATACGAAGCTTGCTGATATCGCACTGCACGCCTGACTGGGTTCGTCGGCGTGTTTAAGCAAGGGTCTGCACACCTCATGCTCCTTCTATTTATGCATATTTTATACACACCATACAGGGTTTATGACGTGCATGAAACAAAATTTTTGAAAACTTAATTATCCAGTGCTTTAAAATAGCCAATATTTACTACTTGCCTATATAAAATGAAAATATATTTCACACAGTGCTAATATTTTGTTTTTAAGACCTACCTTGGTTTAACACAGGGGAAATACGATTTTTCCCATCATGCTTTTCTTAGTATAATGTAAATCCTCGCATAAACTCCGGTCTCGAATAAGCAATACCCTCGAATAACCGCCGCATCAAACGTGATTTTTTTTTCTTTCTCTGAGCCCCGCTCTCGAATAAGCGCCGCGTTGCTTAAGTGAGAGCACAATAAGACCTTGTGTGTAATTAAACAATTTACAAACAGGGTTTTAAATACAATGAATACAGTGTTTAAATGAATAATAATACAATGAAGACACAAGCATATTTTTTATAAACGTTTATTTACGATGATTTAGAGCTTATGAATGGCATACCAAACTATTGAATGACCCATAAAATAAACCCTCCAAGTTTTTTTCTTCTTTAGTTTGTTGAAAGACCATAATCAAAGCTGAAATAATTATTTCTCTCTCAATTTTGTTTTACTTCACGATACCTCGCAAAAAAATTGTCTACTGAAAGTAATTTCAGAATGAAAAAGTTAATCGTAATATGAACAGAAAAAAACCCCCCAAAATGTCCCAAATATAGAAGTGCGGGTAATATAGGTCCACGGGAATACGTGAGATAGGTAAAGCTAGGTTCACACCAGAGCCCGGATCCGGTCCGGTGCCCGGACAAATACTGGATTCAGTTGTAAAAATAGGACAGTTCACATCAAATTCGTACGATTTCCAACTCCGGATCGGGAGCCATTTCTATCGTGAAATCGTAATTTTTTTCGTTAGACCAATCAGCATACGTGCTTTGACCTCGGATAACCATGTTCTGCACGCGATGTGAATGCAGCGTTTAAAAAACGTAACAACTCACGGTTTGTTTTCCGGGCTCCGGACCCGATCCGGGTTCGATGTGAACATAGCCTTATATGGGAACGCCGCAGCGCTTATTTGAAGTACTTCTGAGCATGTGCAGAACTTGCCTACACACAACAACGATCTCAGCCCCAGGCGTGCAGTGTGAGATCAGCGAGCTTCTTATCCTGGTACACATGTAAGGCCATGATTTAATGACATTGATATTGGCAGACATATCCAAGGTCAACTATTGTAAGTGAACATTATAATAATTTGTAAAATGTATACATGATCCCAATGTTCCTAGAAGTAATAGAAATGTCATTACATATCAACTCACAGATTGGTTCTTTAAAAATTTAAATGCATTAATAAATCGCATAATAAATCCATTATTTAATTGTGTTTGCAGACTGGAACTTGGTATTCAAGGGCGTGGCAGGAACCGGATCTGCTATTTATACAGCCTTTGTCGATGGAACTGGAACATCAGAAACCGATGAGGCGGCATCGTTTGATTCACTGCTGAACTTTAGATCGAATCAACCCTTGGTCGACTGGTCATCACTGCAAATCACGCAGGTATGTATCAGTTAAAAAATAATAATAGGTAGTTTACGCCGCACGACGTTAACCTTAACTTTAACGTTAGTACCCAACATACAACGCGATAGCTCCGCCCCTTTTTGTAAACAAATCGAAATACGTATGCGCAAACCCGTAACGTACGTGAAATCCTGAAATCAACATACTCCGCATAGCAAGATGAATAAATTATGACGTCATCGTTAACGTTAAGGTTAACGTCTTGCGGCGAAAACTACCTAATATCTAGTACACTACGTGATTGTCGTAGAACATGGCGTGCTTTTGGGGGGTTCATGTGATGCTCTTTTACGAACAAACTGAGGGAATATGGAACCCTTAAACACAAAAATGATATATTTCAACATTTTACTAAGAATAATACTAATATTTACACATGATATTTAAAGAACTAATCATTACCTTTAATGATCAAATTATAACAAAATCTCTTTAATTAATAAGTAAACGACAACAGTCGGAGAGCCGCGTTGGTCACGCATCATTAACTTCATTCATTGTGAGGGCGCATGTCATGGATAATGGCCGAAATTTAACAACTTTTTATGTGTTGAAAATGTGGTTATTTTGGCACTAAATGTTATTAAAAAAACTAGTTTGAATAACTAAACTACAAGTTTAAATGATGATTAAAACTACGATTTCGGTTCAATAATTTTTTGGTTTCGAAAAATATCGATATTTTAGGCTTCAATTCAACATACGATATTTTTACAAAATGGAAGGCCAAAACTCATTAAATTTCACATTTTCTACACTAGAGTAAAGTGATATAGGCCTATGTACAAGAATAATTTTCCACATTTGTAAAGAATGTTAAACAAAATAAGAACATTTTGTGCCTGACATTGGCAAAAAAAAAAAAATAATTATGCTGATCCTGGGAAAGATTTTACTTGCTCTTACAAAAAAAGTGTACTGTCACATTACTTGCAAGTTATATAGTATTGGTTATAATTACAGTACATGAGATCTGTTTACTTAAAAATTAGAATATTTTATTTTCACAAAAATAAATACTGCATTTCTTCATTATAGTAGCAGTAAATTAATTTACATTAAATATTAAACATTATTAACAACCATAATGACTATAGATAGGCCTATTTAATTATGCACCACTTTCAGTATACATGTACCATTCAACTACAAAACACATCGATATATACTACGATGTACACATCTCCATGTTGGGCTGAGTATCGAAGTAGAAACGTATTTCTAGTCAATATATCTCCTGAAAAATAGAAATATCATATTAGATTTTAAAAAAAAATGTGTATACTAAAAATACAATCAAATTAGACCAAAGTAACTGGCCAATATTTGTATCATGATGTTGAATTGATAGAAGTTGTAACTATACTCTATCTATTTACATAAATAGCCTGGCCTTTTTTTAAACTTACATAGGCCTATATTGTGTACATAGGTTTAATATTTAATAATATTATTATATTAATAATAATTCCCTGTTGCTTTTTTAATGTAAACATTTGTCTTCCATACAGCCACTTTTTAACATATTTTTTTTAAATTATAAAAACTTAAGCTTGGTTTTCCTAGCTTGCCTCCTCCGAGAAAGGCTGTGAGTATACAGTACTGTAGTTTATGCACTCACGGCCTAGTATAGGCCTGCTTGAGTGCAACCATGACTCACACCACAGCCACACAGCCCGCGGCAGTGCATCGAGCACCGCCGTGCATTAGCAAAACACGTGAAATTATGATCCTTTGTGTCTACTGGGCTAAGAATTAACTATAAGGCCCCACCCACTCTTGACCGTCACCCTCAATACACTGTACACAATAAAGTAACACATGATCAGATATAGTGTGATTCGTTCGTGATTTATTACGACAAAAGGCAAATGGACCGTCGCACACGATCGGTCCCTAAATTAATTTCCATAGTAAAAATTCTTAAAAAGTGGCCAACAAGCCAAGCGGCAAGGGGCCGTAGCGCCCTAGTGTATTGGAGGAGGAAGGGGTGGCAGGCGGGAAAAAGAATTTCCAAGGAGTTATCGGTGCACGGAGCGAGGTAATTACAATCCGCAACGAGAAAAGGGGTCCGGTTATGATTCCATACGAGGAAATGCAATAGGTTGAAATTATTACGCCGACCGAGTGACACCAATTGGGGTGTACCGTACCTACGCACCTTGACACAAAGTGTTTTTCCGCTGGTGTCGGAAAATTTATTTGTGTCTACTGGGCTAAGAATTAACTATAAGGCCCCACCCACTCTTGACCGTCACCCTCAATACACTGTAAACAATAAAGTAACACATGATCAGATATAGTGTGGTTCGGTCGTGATTTATTACGACAAAAGGCAAATGGACCGTCGCACACGATCGGTCCCTAAATTAATTTCCATAGTAAAAATTCTTAAAAAGTGGCAAACAATTAGCCAAGCGGCAGGGTGCACTATTTATAATAATGATTATTTCCTATTGAAGTGAGTTGATGACTTACAATTGGTAAATTTTTTTTTTATCTTAAACCACTACTGTAATTGCAGGTGAAACTGACGTTGTTTTCGGAATCTGCTGATGAATTATTATCGTTGATATTTGACGGAGTTGGCTCTGATAAAACCTCATGGTATGCTCTGGATAGGTTGATAATTTCACCATGGACAGACTTAACAACAAGTGTGTCACACAATTGCTTCAGCATATACGGCGAGAGGTAAGTCTTGTCTTTTGTTTATCGTAGCTTGTAAACAGCAATACCATGGGGGCGCAGCCAAGGTAAAATTTGTGGGGTGAGGGAAGGTTGAAACATTGTGAGCACAGCAAGCAACTAGCCTGGGGTGGGGGCAGGAAGCTGGCAAGATAAACATTTGAGGTACGTGATAAAAGATGGAATTGAGAAGTTTCGCCAAGTAAATTTTTATAAAACCTCTAACAAAATGTAAATTGAATGGATAATAATAAATATTATACTATACTAATACATTCAAATTATCTAACAAGTTGAACAGTCAGTTAGACGCGGCAATGGTGCACCGTTAGCTGCACTAATATTATAGGTTTAAGCAACACTATTAAAGAAAATAATATAAAAGCGATAGTCATATAAATGGACCTACATTTTTTCACGTCGAAGAAAATTCTTGCAGTAGGTAAAAGAACAATAGTTAAGACCTTTATAAAAAGGCCTTCATTGGAGGTTCATGATTATACAATCATTACTCTTTGTTGGTAGAACCAGGGAAGAGTGACTCTTCACACCAAATTCATTTTTTTCAACATTGCGTTCATCCTGATATTCTATAAAAACACAAATCTAAACATTGACAATAAAGGGATAACAGAGGGTAACCTTTTAACCTGGTAGGCCTGTTTTTGAAGAGGTCAATGGGTTACACTTTTAAGTTAGTCCTTTACGGGAGGTAAATCATAAGAAAAATCCAAAAGTCCTAGGATGGCAGGTCTCCACTTTTTCTTGTTTGTAATATTTATTTTCATCCGAGAATGCAGTTTTAATTTTGGAAATCAAAAAGTGGTAGAAGTCGCTTACGGGAGCTGGTGGCTTACGAGAGGGATCAAATGCATTGATTAGATAGAGAGAACAAACGTGACCATTATTATGAGAGTGGACGTTATGTAAGGTGATCGCATACGGAAGGTGTTTTGCACAGGGAAGTTAAACTGAACTATACCATGAGTGAAGAGTTAATTTACACTCTTTCCTGATTATATCAAATAATACTGTAATATATTACAGTGTTTTTATTTGTTACTTCGATACTGGTAACCAAAGAGTTACCCTGATTGTAGCAAAATTTTATTATTATTATTATTATTATTATTATTATTATTATTATTATTATTATTATTATTATTATTATTATTATTATTATTATTATTATTATTATTATTATTATTTCAACTTTAATTATTACTGTACAGTACGCACAGCATTCGAGATTTCTAGATGACACGGCGTGTGTGTCGGGTCTGAGGCAAGGGTCACTTAGATAGTCTGTCAACCATAATAAAAGGAGAATGGCTTAAATATCATATATCATGTGTTTACACATTTCCGATTATTTACTACTATAAACGGGATTTTTTTTGAAACTATGCTTAATTTGAGGGGCAGAGGTCAGGACCCCTCGACCCCACCTCCTATGGCTTCGCCCCTGAATGCTCGTCTTTTTAATTCTTCCCACAAGCAAGTTAATGATTCGATTTCTGCAGCCTAGGCTTATGGTGGATCGTGTTATAAAATTAATCCCTGTTATAATTTTAAAATAATCAAACAAGGAACTTAAAAGAATCAAGATTATCAATAAATTACGCAAGAACAAGGACGTTGTTATTACCAAAGTCTTGATAAAGGCAATGTAGAAGTTATTATAACATTTGAATTATGAACATCACCAGTGACACCAGCACATTTATCAGATTTTGATTAAATTTTAATGTGTGGACAACACGTTATATCGTCATTGCGGACTTATAAAATCCGCATACGCCTTAAAACTAAAAGAAAATGCATACATTTAGAGTCCGTACTGAGCCCAAAAAATCCGCAATGAAAATATAACGTGTTGGACCCTTTTAAAACGAATTTAAATTAAGATTATTAGTTTTAATGGTTTTCTTTCTTACTTTTGATACTAGCTTATATGTTAACTTAAGTAAATTATATATTTATTTTAATTAAAACTTACGGTAATTAAAAAATTATATCTTAAATTATATTTTTTAATCAAAACTTACGGTAATTAAAAAATTATATCTTAATGTTTAATAACTGCCTTTAGGTCATTATTTTTAATTAAACGCAATATACAACAATATCAAAGAATATGTGCTTATGTTTTAATGTGTTACATGTATTTTTTTTCTAATCTTTATTTTTATGAGCTTTGTCAACGCAACAAATTTCCTCTTGGACCAATAAAGTTTTCAGTATTCAGTCAGTATTCATTATTAAAGCTCACCGATAATCAGAAGGCAAATTACAAAGATGTCTTAGAAAACTAACGACTCAGGTAGTTATAAACGAGAACGATCGCCAGGATTTATGGATTGCTCAAGCTTCATAAACCAAGAAGAGCTAAAGGTTCACTACCGGTATGAATGATCATAATCATGCTGAATATGCAGTTAAGAAAGGAAACCGTCTTATCGGTTATATAAAATCAATTATCAATAATCTCAATAATTTTAATAGAACGTACATGGTGACATCCTGTGGCGAACGATCGCACTTCCATCTATCAATTACGCAAGTGCGGTGTGGGTAAACCATAGAGCTATTAAACAACTAGAGTGCTGACAAGATGGCGCAGCAATGCAGAGTTATGTATGTGTACCATCCAAGATGGCTGTCGTAGTAAAGCGCCACCTTCAGGCTTAGTGGTCTCTTATACACATCTAGATGTGTATAAGAATACATATTATTACATATTAATAAGCCCTCTGACTGACTATTATTTCATTAATGATAATGAGTAATGGTAATAACAAATTATTAAACTATTGTAGCCAAAACGAGGCCAAGGGAAGCATCTTATTCAAAAGTAAAGTACCAAGGAATGAAAATTAAAATCGTATACATTACACCCAAACACCGCAACGCTCGAGTTTCAAACATACAGGTAACTAACTGTACCGAACTTTCTGAGTAAATTGAGGGCGCAATTGCAAACGATGGTGCTTAGCGAAATTTGATTGACTAAATCTATGGCAGCCATCTTGGATGGTACACACACACAGTTCTGCGTATTTCGAACATCGAAGACATTGCGGTTAGTGCTCTAGTATTCTTATTATATCTCTATGGGGTAAACGGAAGCAAAAGTGACCTTAAAAAAATTGAAAAACTGCAAATGCAAATGGCGAGGTGTATTATAAAGGCTCCAAGAAACACACCCTGTTCTACCCTTTACGATGACCTTGGATGGTCCTCCATCATCGACTCCCAAAACATTTTCAGACTAAATTATATCGATCGTATTATTAAAATGGAAGAAGATTGCTGGCCGAAACTGTTACTCAAACCCCTAATTGTACCTGAAAATATCAATACTTGAGTTATAAATTACTTGGTTGTGTCGATAATATATTTCATAAATGTAACATTGAGAGTATTTTCCAGTAGGCCTATATTAAATATAATCACGATATACCCAGTCCTATATGGGCAGCTGAAATAAAACATGCTCTGAAACAAAATTCCTTAAATTACTGGAAGGACGATATTAAAAACAAACATTCTATTGTAAAATACTCATTAATTAATAAAACGTCACGAAGTATGGAGGAGTACCTTCCTGACGGTACTGATTTTGAAGGAACGTCAATAAAATTTAAGCTCCGTTCAAATACACTAGATCCCTCTCTAACAGCGAACTAATAAATGGAATTTGTAAGGTGTGCAATGATAATTCCATTGAAGACATAAGTAATCTTTTGTGTTGTGTTTTGATTTGAAATGTAATTTGAATGTGCTTATCTGTATCTTAATAATGTAATAATTCGTTACCTTTTTAAAAAATTAGTACAACCGTACTTGTATATATATGTTGTTAATGTTTTAAATTTAGTGGATTTTGCTTAAACACCAATACAGTACTGTATACTGTTATTGTAAATTTGTTTTGTGTAACTATTAGTTTCTTTAAGTTGCTTTCTTTCTCACTGAACACACCAAATTGTTGTGTGCCACTGAAACAAAGTGTATGTTCAGTTGAATAAATAAATGAATAAATAAATAAGACCATTGTTTCATCGATTAGGACTTGTTTCATTTGATGTTGAAAGCCTTTTTACCAATATTTCCCTAGATGAGTCCATCGAGGTAGCCAAATACATTTTCGACAATAATACGAATTGTAAAATTGAAAAAGATGACCTTAAAATTTAAAATTTGCCACCCCAGGTACTAATTTCCTCTTTAATAGAGTTGACGGTATTTGCATGGGTTTCCTCTACAGTTTGTCTAATGCTAAAGAGAGTTGGACTAGTGGCTGTGAGTTTAATCAAGAGCCAGTGAAAAATATCTATCTCACCCTGACTTTTCTGCATGGCAAGCGATGCGAAGGTCTAAATCCGCGTCTGGCTGGGAGTATGAAAAAGCCGATTTACCCGACAATAGGATAAGTGGGCAGGGCCAGTGCAGCCCAAAACCCATGCAATTTAGAGATTTAAAAGGCTTATTTAATCGATTTTTTAATCATTCTGTAAAAATTACATGGATTTTTTTCCTCCCAGACAAATTGTATTTTATACTCTCCTATGAAGCACACACCGCCCTCTCAAAGGAACATTTCTACATTACCATTTTCGTATGTTATTTAAATTGAAATATATGACAACCATTGGAGAGGATTCGTTACTAGCCTCAATTCAATTCAGTTCAATTTATTCCGGGATAAAATACAAAAATTCGTCATCAAAATAACAAGAACAATAAAGACAAAGAGAGTGCTACCAACCCAGGAGTCCAAACCACAACCAATGCGCCAACTAAAAAACTAACATTAAGTAATTTTTTAAAAGTAATTTTTCTAAAATGGTTGACAAAATGGCCCCCATTTTTTATTAAAAGTACTATAAATCTCGCATTTTATATTTTAGATTAGAATTAAATGTTTTTTGTCTAATCAAGATATAATGTTAGTTATATATAATATCCATTTACATACAATACTTCATACTGTATTTAATATATTGAGTTTTTTAACAATTAAAATTGACTCTGTGACGTTTGACCTCCCTAATTTTGCATGTCCCACTAAATTTAAAATTTGACAACCCCTAAAATCGAAGAACATATTATAAATAAGGTTCATTTTTAGCATAGTTGCTATCCATTTTAAAACATGACTGGCTGGGTCAATTTTGTTTATAATCACCTCTGGACTATTATGAAAACACATCAAGAAGATACATAAAAGCCGCATTTGGACACCAGAATTTTAAAATTGTTATTATAAAATCATTAAAATATTTTTTGTTAACCAACACGTACATACATATAATGTGTTTTGATCCGTTAAATTCTAATTGAGATGCTCAATAAAATTGTTCAGGAAAATGTATTATTTTCTGGGCGGCTTTTTTGGCAACCTAATTTTTGATTCACAAATAGAGAGACTCTCTTTATCGGAATTACGATATTGTGAAAACGCATCAAGAAAATGGAAGAAAGATGAATTATACTACAATTGTACTACATAAATAAAATTGGTAATGAAAGATTAGTTTTAGGTATGTCAAGTTTTAACACAAAACAATGTGAGATATTCAAATGTATACCGTCCTTTTATATTAATGTCATTGAATGCTGTATTGAATTTAATAAAATTAGCGACAATGTAGTTAATACTTATGAAGAAATTGTTAGACAAAACCTATGTGTGTTTAGAGCAATTGTTAAAGACATGAACAACCTAGGCTTACTGTAAATGTTCACTAAATAATTATTTTATTTTATTTATTTATTTTGTATTTATATTTATATATATTTTTATTTTATATTATTTATTTATTTATTTTTTTTATGAAGTGGACCTATTAGTATTACTATTGGTACTCCATTATTAGTTACTTTCAAGGTATAAAATAATAAGCAATAACGAATTACTGATAGTCCATACAAACTATGAGATGAAAATTACGTTGTGCAGTATGTTTTTTTTTTGTTTTTTTGTTTTGTTTTTTTTTTAATTAAAAAAAAAAAAAAAAAAAACATAACTCAACGTGTTATGAGTAAACATATATCCTATTAGCGTACAATGATGTAAAGTAATATATTTTTATATAAAAATGAAAAAGGGAGGAAAAAATTAAGGGATATACTGGTTAAATAAAATCTATATTAATAATGGTTACAATTGTTCAATGCCTAAACTTTGAAATCATGTTAATATCATAGAATTATGCTTAAATTTATTTTTTAAAGTTTCATATAACATACATTGATCGACTTAATTTGCATGTTTTATTGTATATATAAGAATCAAGAGAAGTTTAAAAAATAAGAAAATCAAGAAAAAAGGTGAAATATCAAAAAGGCTGTAATGCAGAATGTCTGTAATTCAAATAACCTGATGTATTGATGAATAAAAGTGGTGGTTGTTATACCACAAAAGAGAAAAAAAGATGAATTATACTTAAATTTTCTTCAGAATTTTAAAACTGTTATTTTAAAATGATCGAAATATTTTTTTGAACCAACACGTAACTGTATTGTTTTTTTCCGTTGACATCTAATTGAAATGCTGGATAAAATCGCAATTGGACTTAAATTTTTACAGAATTTTAAAATTGTTATTTTAGAATTATCAAAATATGTTTATGAACTAACACGTACCTGTACCTGCATGTTTTTTTGATCCGTTGATATCTAATTATAATGCTCGATAAAATTGGAAAAATGTCCAAAAAGAATTGATTTTTTTTTTTCCTACGGGGTTTTTATATGTTTTATTTGAATGCACAAGAGGCATATAATTCTCCTATTTTAAAAATAATTATTATTTAAGGTGTGTGAAGTTGATACCCAGCATTTCTGTATAATTATATATTATATACATTTACAATACAGTATATCAAAAATATTTTCTTTTTCATTATTTATAGCCAGTCTCGTACGTTCTATATCAATGCGCATTATGGTGGATGTTCGGTAGATACGGGATGGCTAACCATCATCGATGCCTCTATGGGATGTCCGTGGGAAAGAGGAATAGATCTGCCAGCCTTCCTATACAGTTTGTCGGATGTTAAAGAGAACTGGACTAGTGGCTGTAAGTATAATCAAACGCCAGTGAAGAATATCTATCTCACTTTGACCTTCGCCATGGCGAACGATACGAAGGTGCAAATGGGGGTGTGGATGGCCGATTTCCCCGACGATAGGATAAGTGGGCAGGTCCAGTACAACCCAGAACCCTTCAATTTAGGGAATTAAAAGGCTTACTTCGTCCAATGGAGGGCATTCGTTACTAGCCTCAATTCAATTCAATCTTATTTCGGGATAAAATTCGAACAAAAATACATCATCAAAATAACAAGAACAATACCGTCCGACAAACAAAGAGAGTGCTGCCAACCCAGGATGACTAAATGTACACAAGCGTGCGACTGTCATGTGGCTCTCCAAAGAAAGCAGCACTATTCTTTCAACAATTTGCTTAACCTTGACAACATGCATAGCTGCCAAATGAGGAGGTGTTGCTGACTCGAGAATGAGGAGTCCACACCCTCCTCAACCCCACCATGTTGGGCTGAGGTGAGGAATTTTTATTTTTAGCATCTCTACTGCGGATGTCCAGAAATATATCTCATACATTAAGAGCCTTATTTTGAAAACTGCACAGACTGACCACGAGATGATTTTGTATATAATAGAATGCCCACGCCGTCAAGTGAGCTACAATCATGTAAACATAACTGACACTACATTGCCGTCTGTGCAATAATAAATCATTTCAAATGTACTGCATAATTTAAGCAGACTTTCACACATTAAATGCCAACTATTGGAAACTCCCTAGTCGTGCTTGCAATTTAATGCCGATGATACGAACATTCAATGTCACATCATCCTACCAGGTACCTATAAGTACTCTTGAATGAACAGACAAACGTGGGTAAAGTGCCTTGTCCAATGACCCTAGCAAAATGGTTCGAACCACCGAACCTCGCGTTTGAGATTTCATAAAACCGCTTGATTTTAGGGGGCTGGCGTGAGAGCTTCAATTTGGTGTGAGGCTCACGCCAGATGCGTTGGCCTTATAGTTATGTAATGGTGCATGTAATTTAAATCTAAAATTATCTGTTTTAGTTTACTATGCTTAGCTCTTTCTCCTTTCTTTTCTTCTCTTTTCCTCTCTTCCGCCTTATTATTTGGAGGAGAAGCTGACCCCTTTCACCCTAGACCCTCCCCTGCATGCTCTGATCGGTTTGTAATTATCGCAATTCAATAAGGGAATAAAAATTATAACTCTTAAAAAAAAAAATAAAAAAAAAATCCGCTATTTTCAATACCCTTAATGAATGTGGCTCTCCATTCATGCATAATGTCTTTTAAATAGACACTTGACACCCAGGGGAAAATGATCAGTAACGTATCTAGGAGTCTTTAATTAGTGGGGTGGAAGCGGCATGATTAGGTGAGGGGTGATAGCTCGCAAAAATAAGGTGATTTAAAAAAAATTCACACTCAAGTAATTAACATTGCTTGAGTGATTTTTTTTGTTTGCTTTGGACATTTTCAATGGGGACGTCTGGGAGGAGCGACTGGAGGGGTTCGATTGGGGCCGCGAGTACTTTATTGGGGGACGGCATGATTAGGTGAGAGGTGATAGCTAGCAAACTAAGGTGTTTAAAAAAATCACTTTCAAAAAGTTAAAATCTACTTGAGAATGTATTTTTTGCTTTGGACATTTTAAATGGGACACGACTGAAAGTGGCGACTGAAGGGGAGGGGGGCAGGACTTGGGGAGCGAGTATTTATTTTGGGACTTGCGCCCCCACACACCCCCTACATACGCCATTTAAATAAATGATGTTCTAGAATGAGAAAAGGTTAACTGTTTTGGCTGTTTTGGATTACTGGACGACTGGGAGGAGCGACTGGAGGGGGAAGCGATTGTTGGCAGGAGTATTTAAATTTATATTTTTTTTGGGGGGGGGGGTGTCCACTGCATGCCCACGCGCCCCCTAGATACGCCACTGCAAATGATGTTAGACTGAGAAAAAGTTTTTCAGGGGGTTTATTAAAATAAATGCAGCCTATACAAAGGGAATTATATCAAGTATTGGACCTAGAAATGAATGTACAGGCGATCACATGAAGAAGATCGGACTAACCTACACACAAGCAGCAAAGAAAACACTCATCAGAAGAAAATAGCGATTCATTGTTTTTGTGGCGATGTTAGCCACTTGAAGGGCGCCCCCTGGAAAAAGAGGGAGATTAGGTGAAGAATAAAAAGATGGAAGATGGAAACACATGTGGCTGTCTCTGACTGTGTGTGAGCTTTCACTAGGATAGGCCATTGCGGCGTTGGATTGATCCCAGTCCAGACAGAATCGTCACATTTTCATCCCTCGACAAGAGGGAGGAACATTTTAAATGACAATACTCAGCCTTCATCACGCACGAATAAACCACTCCTCATACTACTCCTCCACATTTCACTCATACATACATTTGCAAAAGTACCAAATGGCATGTCTTTAAATATTAGTATTAAGTCAGCTTGTTTTGACATGTAAATTATTATGCTAATAATATAATGTATTTTACATAATTTTATTTGCAGCCATAGGGAGAGCCTATATAATGACTGTTCACATCAAGTATGGTTGATCATCCTTCAGGCGCACTGATATGCGTGAAAAGGAAAACGATACCGTCTGTGCATGTTTCAAAGCCAATGACAAATCAGAATCCCTCTAAGGAAGAATCAAGCGTCGATTGATGCATGTTATTCTCACAACATTTTCTTATAGCTATTAAATTCTGTTTTAATCAGCAGTTTTTTCCTTCTACTTTTTTACATCAAATAGTGCAATTGCAATTTTAGTTCACACAATTTTTTCAATGATCATATCATATAAATTTGTCTATAATATCACTGATTATTGCATAAGATTTTTTTTTAGTGAAATTGTTATGCACTTAATAATTTTCTATTATGATTAGAGCTTAATTGTTTATTGATTTAATGTATGTTATTTGTAATGTCTGTCAATTTAATCATTGAGGATTTTACCTACATGTTTCAACAACTCAGTTTGCAATTCAGTTTTTACTATTGTAAACTCTTCTATGTATATAATCTTTATTTGTTCAATTAAATATGCCAAAATAATATAAAGTTATGGTCATGTGTATTGCTATACTCTCCTCATCTGAGTATATTTAGTCCGCGCGAAGTTGTTGTTGTTCTTGTTACCAAAACTTTACAAACAGTTGAAAGCGTCCAGCGTCGCCAGTTTTGAACGGACGTGTATGAAATTTTGTACACATAAACTTAATGTGATTTCCAACAAACGTTCATCGCCCTTATTTTAAGTTTGACCCCAGAGTTCCCTTACACCTACAAAACAAAACAGGAGTTTCAAACTTTAAATGCGTCCAGCGTCGCAAGTTTTGAACGGACGTGCAGGAAATTTTGTACATATAAACTAGAGGTGATTTCCAATAAACGTTCATCGCTTTTTTTAAGTTGGACCCCAGGGTTCCCTCTACACCTACAAAACAAAACAGAGGTTTCAGCAAGGACTGTACATTACTACCATTTACCACTACTGTAATAGTGCATGTCGATAGTATAGTAAATGATACAAGTGTATGTACTAGCGAAAAAAATTCGTATTTAATGTTACAACGAAGTACTGCCTTTCTAAATTGCTAATTCATTATAAAAATAAACTGTTGAAGAGAGTCAAAATTCCTCTTAATTAGCTTCAAAAATTCTTTTGGGGGACTATATGCTTTTTAAATTTTTAAATAGGCTGCGTATTTTACCCTTTAACCTGTTAAACATTAAAAAAAAAATATTTAAAAAAATGTAAAAAAAACTAAACACATGATACCACTTTTCTCTGTCGACGCAATGCAGCTCCTGTTGCAGTGCACGGTAATGGAGCCCCGGGATTATCCTGGGGTGGAAGGTGCTGATGCTCAACATACTGCCTTTGGGTATCTGCGTATACTTATATTGGGAGCAACATTGCCTCGATCGGATAATTGGTATTTGGATTTTCCTGAAAATTCTGCTGGGAATTATTTGGATCTTGTTGGTTTAATTGTCCATGCGCCTTGAGCACCTTTGGTGGAGATGTGCGCTTTATAAATCTTTATTATTATTAGGATCCAGACTCATCTTTCTTTCTAAAAATTATAATTATTTATTGTTCCATAACCTTACAGTCAACTATAACACATTCGTTCGGTCTCTATGATGTTCCCTTTCTATCTTGTCCTCTAGGAGAGGAGAGGGCGCTCACTCCTTCACATACCCCGGGACCGGCAAGACGAGTTTACGGAGTACTTTAATGTGAAAAAATGTATCCAAAGCGAAACAAAACAAATGTATATGTCTAAAATATCAGTAACTTTTGAAAACCATTTTAAACTTTAGTGACGATACAGACCCAGGTGTGAGGTTTAGGGTCATTTTAAGTGCTAACGTCCCATACCTAAATATCGTAAAAACTGACAAATGGATAATATAAAAATAAAAAACTTTACAGAATGTTTGTCATGGTCAAGATATTTAAACAAACGCTCGTTTCACCATCCATACAACAGGAAGGGAGTTTCAAAATAAATATCACAAGAGCACACAGTATCAATGATCGCAACTATCCGGAAAGAAGTGCAGTATGTTAAGAAAGCCCTGAATATCCAAACGCAGCAATAGCCAAGGTGATACAGAATGTAGAAAGTCTGTATGTTTACCATATTTGGGAGAGCTTTATCATCGTATTCAACGCATCATACAACAAGTTGATATTAAAATGTTTCATAGCGCACCAAACAAACTATCCCAGACTCTTCGAACACACAAGGATAAACCACCAGCACAGAGCCAGTCAGGAGTTGATCTCCATACAAGGCTCAAGTAATATCAAAGCCTTGCTATGAGAGGAGAACAACAATGTCATCGTGTATGTTGGGATAAATCCGAACTGATAGCCACTGTACCATCTTGGCATTTTAGACGGACCAGTGAAATTATATAAGTTCACAAACACGATACAGTACAAGAAGATATCGAATTTGTCACGTAGCCAGGATTTTGAAAGGAGGTGGGGGAGCCGTTATGCGTAGGATCCTGGCGCGGGGTCAGGAGCGAATCCCCCTGTGAAGTAGCGCACTCTGAACTTTCTTAGGGCTGTTTTGAGAGGATAAAGTGAAAATTGCAAAAGACGCGTTATAAAAAACAATTAGTAAGCGCAACAATAATTATATAATAATTCAACAGTGGCTGATCCAGGAATTCGAAAAGAGAGGTGAACCAGGGAGGGACTTTCACAGACCGAGGAACCACCCGCCTCAGCCCCACTATGGTTAGGCTGAGGTAAGAAAATTTATGATTAGGGCATCTCTAGATGGCCGGAAATTACACTCTCACACTTAAATTTGAATATATTTTTCTTTTTTTCCTTAAAAAAATGAGGGGAGGGGGCGGGCCTTGAATACACCTCTGCTCAAAACATTCTTTATCCAAAATAGTCATAATCACGAAAAACGGGCATGAAAAACCAGATCACATCCTAAAAACAAATGAATGGACCCTCGCAGTCACTAAGACAATATACTCTGACTCATGAGTCAGGTGCCGACTCGATGGAATTTAATGTCCCAGGGAAGGGCGCAGATCTGTGAAAAGTAGAGGAAACTTAGAAAACAAATTAAAAACATTGTCTTTGAGTATGTACTTTACATACTTCAAAACCGTGATTTCACAACCACCTCAGCCCCACCATGGTTGGGGCTGAGGTGAGAAAATTTGAGGACACTTTTTTGGTACCGAAGGTGTTCCCTTAATAGGGCTTCTACTGTATATTCGGGAACTAGTTGTGAGGTAATCGACAGTCTGCAGGCCCTGTACAATCCCCGTCACAACAACTCTAATTAATAACCTAAACTCTTGGCGTTTAAATTTCAGAAGAGATCACAATTTAATACATCAATTTGCTTCGCTATCTAAACAAGAACAAAAGAACTGATAAGAATTAGAAGAAAATTGTCCATTTGGCAAGCCTTTCGCGCTCGCATCGCCAATATTGTAACATAGCCACTTTTTGGTACTTACCGTGATAGGTACTTAAAATGCTGGAATCTCTCAAATAAGAGCCGCACCAAACCTGACAATTTTCGCTAAGTACCGCTCTCGAATAAGCTTAATCGAGAGAAATTACCCTAAAGCGAGCTTTTTAAGGGATCTCTCGGTTTTCCTTATCATAGTTACCAACCTGAGAGATTTGAAATGCGTGACTATAGTTGGTTGGGGGTCAGGGGTCAGCAGGGCCGCCTCCGGGGTCCAGGGGCGGAGCCCCGGTAAATTCCGAGTTTCAGTCACATAGGTCTAATCAACAGTTGGTTGTAAAAATGAACGCGCAGCCCGCACGCGCCTCCTAGATCCTACTAAGTGCGTGATTGACTGGGTTGTTTTGGTGAAATTTTGTTGGTGAATTGATTCTCGAATGAGATAACGAAAGCTCTCTAATGGCTCAAGTTACTGCATGACCGTTTTTATATCGTTAATAGAACAAATTTCTTCTAATTTTTAATACGTTTTCCATTGAATTCATGATAATTAGTTATCACGCATAGGCTTGTGCTAAATGCGTGACAAATTTATGATCACGAATGTGTTTCTGCAAAATGCGTGTTTTATCCAAAATCTTTGAAATGCGGGACCGTCCCGCGGTTCGTAACTATGCCTTATGTATGTTTCAGGGCATGGTCCTTTGATGCTCTGTCCGTTACGTCCTTCTTCTCGGTTTTGTCCTTGGGAGCCACTAGGTTTTGCCTTAGGGTTCCTGTAGGTCGAAAACAAACACTAATGTTGTATATTTGGAACATTCTTCTAAGAGCTTCCAAGATGAACTTAACAGATGACCCTTGGATTTGGACGTTGTCTCCTGCTCGACTTTTCCCGACAAGCTATCTTGTTAAATGTGGTTGGGTAACCACATTTGGAGAGATCCTTTTCTGCGGCTATATTTTCTGGATCCGTGATCACAGTATCTGCCCGAAAGAACAAGGTGTTGATAACCCAGAGCTTGTGCTGCATTGGATAGTTGGACGAAACGTTCAGGTACTGATCAATATAAATTGGTTTTCTGAATGTTTTTTGTCCAAAAATGCTACGGTAATGATCAGTTTTGTGTGGGTGTGTGTGTTATCAAATTACATAATATATATAAGCCACCATAAAGGAGGGTGGGGGTGCTGTTTCAATAGCTCGTTGTTCCAGGGGTTCCATATACAAATTGCATAAAATTGGAGATTCTGGAGAGCCCATTGCTGCTCCATGAATGTGTTAATAGAAAATCCCGTTGATCACAAAATAAGTACATTTCAGACACCCCTCTCCACCTCCAGACAAACCGGAACTGTTCTTGATGGTGACATCCATTTTTAGTTTCGATTGGATAATGGTCAGATCTTTATATCAACGGGAACCGATGTAAGAAGTGCCGTGACATCATATAACCTAAGTTCTTCGTCATCCTCCATTCTTTCTTTTCTTTCACGATCTGAAAACTGTTTGGAGTTGATGATGTGGTAATTTTATTACCTACCAGTGGCGAGAGAATGTTTGCAAGATATTTGGCACATTGGTATGTTATGGTTCCGATACTGCTAATTATGGGCCTTAGAGGAATGTTATTTGTGTGTACCTTAGGTAAACCGTATAATTTTGATGGGTTCTCTGTTGTTGTACATACAGTAGTTTTCTATATATTATTTCCCTGTTAATGCCATTTTCTTTCTTCAATTCTTTTAAGACAGATGTTTGAATTTATTAATTATTAAGAGCAGTGGTGTTTCTAGGCCTATAGACAAGCATGGCTTGGGGCACAAGTCCTTTGCAATTGTGTGCGTCTCGAGGTGGCCAAACCCCTCTCCTCCCACTCCCCTTTCAAAATAAGACAATAGCGTAGTTACAATGATGAGACATGGCTAAATTCACCTCATCTCACAACTAACTTCCTTCCCTTTCCTATTGTCCGCATGTTTATTGGCTTACTTTTAAATATAGCCTACGAAGACACTGCCTGCCTGTATTTTTGAAAAAAGTATTGAATTAATTACACTCATCTCTTTTAACAATATAT